TTATTATTATTATTATTATTATTATTATTATTATTATTATTATTATTATTATTATTAATTATTATTATTAGTGTCGGAGGAGTTTTTTCATATCAGAAGAATTGCCGTTGGAGAATGTCCATTTGGCAGTGTTCGTTTAATTTGTCGCCTAGGTTGTTGTTATGACTTATGGGTATCCTGTACATTGATAAATGTGAACGACGATTCGCAAAAACGCAAATAGCTTGGCCTTAATTACTTGACCTCAACGCTCCTAGTAGTCAACATTTGTGTTTTCTTGATGAGCAAAAATCAATATTACGTTAATTATGAGAGTTTATGTCAGTTTTAGTCGAACTCCTTCATCGCTCACGACTGTCCGAGTTGTCGTAATTCTTCGGTCGTTCTGCCATCTCTAGTTGTTCTTATCTTCAATGTTATTTCAAAGTTTAACGAAATTTTTTCTTCAAGCTCTTAGGTTTTTTTTCCACTCGATAAGATGAGGACGTAAGAACTCACTTAGTAAGTCTACCATGAACGGCTTAGCGACACCTCTATTTTTCTTTGTTATTTTTTTCTGTAAGAATTTTATAAAGTCGTCCTTCTATGGGGATTTTGGCACGTGCTCCAACAGCCGTCGTTTCCGAGCTCGGCGAACTTTGTTTCTATTTTCATGAATTTCTAAAGTTTTAAAATTTACAGGATAAGATTAGCGACACTCACAACGGTTTACAGCAACATCGTACCTGGGAGGTATTCCTGGGTGTCGTGCTGCGATGTACAGCGAGGGAATTCATTCCCCCACCCTGCGCAAGGTTTCCTACGCTGAGGAGTCTGGCGTTTCCATCAGGGAGCCCAGCGAAGGGTAAACCAGTATTGGGATTCACCATCGTCCTGGTATCAAACTAGTCGCATAGTGGCAAATCTCCATCTGATTCCACTGCCTGTGGTGGTGAAGACCTGGGGCAGACGTTGGCCAGGCTGACCTCGGGAATCCAGGAAAACGTATAGCCAAACGAACAAAACTACTAACAATGGAGAATATGCTGCGGCTCGCACAACCATTGAGGACGGGGTATCCAAGTATCCATCTAAGTAAGATTAGCGACAAAGAGTATAACAAGTTTTATGGACTCGGAAATGTTCTTGATTTTCGTTACTCGTAGTCTCTTGTTTCGTTTAATATTTGTAATTTTTCTTTCTGATATATTGATTGATGAGATGGAATTTATCAATAAAAATCAATAAAGGGAATAAAAATAGTTACTGGATAATATTTAACTTTCTATTTTACTGCTTTTCGTTTTTTTTTTCATGGCAAGGTACTATGTGAAATGCTACCACTGTGGTGCTGAGATTACTGTATGATAAAAAATAAAGCTCTCGACGTTGATCAATCCCTAAGGGATGGGCCATGCCTTCGACTTTATTAAACATCGTTTGGAGGTCATTGAGTCCATATTTGGCCTTTACAATGGCCCCCGGTGGCGTACCGATGTATCGAGCCAGTGCTGCTATCCTCGTAGACAAGACTGGTACCAATGTGCCGACCCCGGAGGGATGGAGGTCTTGTGGGGCATGGACGCGGAGATCGATCCCATGTGTGTGTTGCAGGGCTCCTCCGAACACTGCACCACGCGCGCCCTGTCAACTATTGGGTAATATTTATTTATGTGATCTTATAAACTGATCTTCTTAAGCTGACGCGAGGTTGGTACAGATCTTCGTTGTCGTTGTCGTTGTTCTCGATGTTATTGATCGATGGCTGACGTTTCGGCGACTTCGTCTTCCTCAGAGCCGTGATGTTACGTGCGGGACTCTATTATATTATATATATATATATATATATATATATATATATATATATATCAACTATCTATGCCGAGGTTTATAGAAAGTCGGTCTTTCGAGTTATTGGATAATACAATTTTTATTACCAGTTCATCATTTTCAATCCTGATTTTTCCTTGTTTTGAATTTCGGAAAAGTTTTTGTTATTTTCAAGAACGTTTTAAATGGCTGATCACACCCAAGTATCGTGGTGTTCTGCTGTAATTCTTGAATTTTCCATGAAGAACGATTGTTTTGAGTTTTGTCGTTACTGAAAAACATCTAGTCCGTATGAACTAATAGAAATCCGAATTTATTTCGTTTATTTTTATTCTATTCATATTCATTTTCATTGATAGACTAAAACGATTTTTGAGATGAAAATGCGAATAATGTGAAATAAAAGAAAAAGAAATGAAAAATAGAGTTAAGAGTAAAAGCAAGAAAAATAAGACAAAATAAAACAAATAGGAAATAGAACTCTCCGGACTGGCTTTCTGTTAACCTCAGTACTGATCAAATAATTCACTGTTTTCTTAATGAGCAGACTCAAGGTTGTTAACAGCAAGGTTTATTCAATACAATATTGTGGATAGATGTTGTTCTCGTTTTCAGGCGACATGGCACTCGTGTCGCATCCAGCGACAGCGGCAACAGTTGGCGCAACGTCGATGTACGGCGGTGGTGTTGTCAAACAGGAGAAGAAACCTCAACCGACACCCCATCAAGTGCTTCAGATGCAACAGCAACAACTGCCGCAGGTCCGTTTTGTCAGCAGCATAGCCCGGAAGTACCGCCAACCAGCGAACACTCACCCAAGTCACCTCACTGAAACACGGAAATTTTGGCACTGAAAAAATCAACAACTTTTTTTGGGCGGGAAATTAGAAATTGGGAGGGAAGCTTGGTGGCATTAGTAGTAAACGGAAAGTTTCGTGAGAAGCTCCCATTTTTGCGAACTGAGAGCTTTTCCGAGATTCTTCAGACGAAAGCTTTTTAGAGTTCGTTTAACTTTTCCGGTTATTTAGCGGAATCGTGTTTTAAACGGGTTATTGTGAACTTTTCTTCTTCGTCGAATTTTTGTCGAAAATGAATGTCGGTGATGCGGCTCTTCAAAAAGGACGCGAGCGAAAAAAGTGCCACGGTTGTATTTCTACACCACAAGCTTTTATCTTTATTGATTTACTGAGCGGAACTAAAAATATAGCCCCTAAATTTAAAAGGAAAAAGTTCTGTCTCTATTGGCATCATTTCCTCTCAACCTTACTCCTACTATTTTCTTTCGTTTTATTTTCTATCCTCTAGTTTTCTCTTTGTTTAATGATTTCCTGCTGTTCTGCGGTCATCGTCTAAGCACAAGAGAGTGGAAACTAGTTTTATCAGAGGTCTAGTCACCGTTGTATCGGTGGTCGTAACTCTCGAGGCACGGGATCGCTTACAGCTTTCGTATAGCTTCCGCCTCGGTCAGGTGCTTCTCGACATCTTGTGTTCGTCTACGAACGCGTGGTCACCTCCGATCCGGGCTAAATCTGTACATTCGGTTCAAATGAGTCGGGCATGTACCTTCTTTTCAGGTCATATCGTTCATTGTTTGATTGTTGGTTAAGTATACGTTTCAGTTCTTTTTTTTCGCTAAATTAGAATTCGCTTTCATTAATTCCTTATAAGTCGCTAAGCATAAAGGAAAACACCACCAGAGCGGAGGCGTCGAGAACTACTAAATATCGATAGTCAGTGAAAAGAGAAGTGACAGACAGATAGTATGAGAATAGCGCCATCCATCGACTTTAAGGCGGTGCTTGCGAGTCTTTTTTATTGTGGCTTTTATCGTTGGTATTCTGAGCTTCTGAGTGATGAAGTGCTATCAAATTTTTTTAGTAAAATCAATTTAATCCAATACAAATGCATTGCTCTCAAAGTTAATTAAGAGAGCCGTCGAGCTTTTTTGACCGAACTGTTAGATGTTAACGCTTTTGAACACCGCTTCAATTGATGTTGAAGAATTTCAGAAGGTTTTTAATGTTTTTTTGGTGGAGATTATTAGCTGCTCAGGGTAATTCTGTCGTTCTACCTATGTTTTAATGGGCGCGTGTGGCGCCGTGGTCGGAGCGTCCCTGCAACACATACGTGGAGTCGATCCGCGCGCACATGGCCCACCAAGCCTGCTATCCCTCCGAAATCAGTAATTTGCTATCGGACTTGTCTGGGAGGATAGTAGCACTGGCTAGATACATCGGTAGGGCCACCACGAGCCTCCAAACAATGCTTAATAAAGTCGAATGCATGACGCTTCTCTCGGCGTGATCAATCACGCCGAGAGCTTTTTTTAGCTTTATGGTAATTCTCTCATTCTACCTGTGTTTACAATTGCGGTAAAGTTGTTTCCAGTAGAAGAACTAGGTCAATGTTGGTTATATTCAGTGTAAATTTGTGTTCGGTACATTTTGAATCGAAAATTACCCTTCATTTCTTTTCAGCTGTAAGTAATCGTAGATCTTTCTGGCTGGAGTGTCTCGTATGATGTGGCTCTGTGATGTTTATTTTCTGTGTCTCCACTGTTTTAATCATTTCTTTTGACGTTAATCGCTACAACATCAATCTAACCGGTTCTCCTAGAGAGAGGACAGACGTGTGTTTTGACTTAAAATCGTTTATGGCTTCTATCTTACGATTCCAGAATCTTGCTATAAAAATATCATTGTGATTTCTTTGTTCACTTCACCACAACACAAATCAGTTCTTCGGAACTCCTTATGAGATTTCTATGATGGTTTTATCTCGTTTCTCGATGAACCCGGTGTTTCAAATTAAAACTAAATCTGTGAATTACGCGTTCACAAGAGCGTCGTTGCTTTTACAACGACTAAATTACAACTAAAACAGCTGTAACAGCAACCAACTTCCTCCATTCCGTTTTCTTCGTAATCTGTTGTTCGGTTGTAGCACTGATCTTTCGCAAAGACCAGCTTAATTCTACATATCGTTCACCGTACAAATTATGCTGAACGATCCAGATTCCAGATAAATCGATATCGGTTCGAATCGATTGCTATCTATTGAATTTTTCACTGACATGAAACCAATGTACACAGTGAATCGCTTTTAAAAACACAGTTCTTCTCTCTCTCTCTCTCTCTGTTTGCACTTTGTTGTGGATTCTCTGATGGTTGTACGGATGAATTTGCATCATAATGTCGTTGTTATTGGCACTATTGGAAAGTTTAGTTGACTGTCTGAAGAAGTTTCTGGTGAGTTTGAAGCTAATCGTTCGGCTTTTTGTGTTCTTGTTACCTCTGATTAGCTGTGCACATCACAACAAGTGTACACCGAAACAGCAATAGGCAAAATATTCTCTGGAAGTTTCCGAATACGCAAATTTCTCCAACCTAAATGTCCTTTTTACATGATAGTTACTAGCTTTTTTTTTATTCCGGAAACAACTTTGAACATTTCGTGAAGTCAGGTGCTTTTCAGGCGGCTCATGTTTCGAATGCGATTCTCGCAGCCACGCAACCATTCTATCCAGCTCCCGTACAGGACGCACAACCGGACAGGCCAATCGGTTACGGTGCATTTGGAGTAGTTTGGTTAGTAGTGAGGGGTATACGAAAATAGGACACAATTCGTCCTTAGTTTTTTGGAGGTTGTGTTATTCGTATGCGTGGAACTTGGACTGGAATGGTTACCTCTCCCATACTTTCGATGTGAACTAAAATCTCTGACCATCGAATAGAATTTCATCCTCTGGTGAAATTTTTTTGTTGCCTTGTGTATCTGGTCTAACCGAGCCCATGTGTCAGATTATATGACCATGTGACACATGCATGACAGACGAGAAACTCGTCTGATAAACCGGACACGCCCGTTCTGCCTGTATGATCCGCGAGCGGGAGGATTGTGCGTAGAGGATTTGAACTGGGAGCTCAGTTTAGTGCTTATGAAACTTTTGACCATAAATCCAGAGACTTCGATTCGTATCTCCATATATAATGGATTTTAATCGATTTATCGATAAGGGGAATGATTGAGGCTGATCGAAAGTGCGTCCGCTCACTCGCAACACATAAAAAACCAAATGCAACTACGAGAAGCCAAAGTTCATTTAGACTGTATGATAAATCGATCGTATCAGTTTAGCAGTAGCAAAGAAACGTGGATATACGGTAGTTTACAGTAACATGTGTGATGGACGTGTTTTCAGGTCGGTGACGGATCCACGCAGTGGAAAGCGCGTAGCGCTTAAGAAAATGCCGAACGTCTTTCAGAATTTGGCCTCCTGTAAACGGGTTTTTCGCGAAATTCGCATGCTTTCATCGTTTAAGCACGATAATGTAAGTTGGACCTTCTAACCCAATATATTCTCTTTCTGATTTTTTTTGTTACACTGTTTTTTTTGTTTTTACTACTTTAAATGTCTTAGCTCTTTTATCGTTATACTATTTTTATCTTTCCTAGCAGCTCTTTTTCCTTAAGTTTGTTCAGCTTTTCTGATGTCATTTCTATTGTGTCGTCTTATAGAAAAAACTCGTGAGTCTACAGAAATATTTAAGCAGATCAATTTTCAAGATATCTTGGAGAGCACCCTATCGCACTATCGATCAATCTCATCCTAAAAGTTTCTTAATAGAAAAATTGAGGACCGAAGTTTTCTTATTTACTATAGCCATAGACAAAGAAACTCGGCAATTTTAGGTTCTCTGCCTTTTGGACATTTTACAGCCAACGAATCCTCATTTCTTTCAAGAGCTGTGAGTTATTCTTTCTTCTATCTTTATTCGAGGAATTCTATTGTCCTAAGGTAATATTATACACGGGGTATTGGGTCTACACCTGGTCACTTACTGGCTTATTACTTTACCGTATGTAAATTGGTGCATATCGATCAACGAGATGACCGCGACCCCCACCTGCCGTCCCAAATACTTGAGGTCAAGTTCGAGGTCAGTGCTGAACTCAAAAGAACGATTTTATGTTTTCACACTGCCAGGAATCTAACTGTGACAGCGCAAGAGACTCTCTCGCAGTTAGGTCTGTGAAATTCGCCGAATCGTCAAGCACAGTTCGAGGCTACGAGATGTAAATCGGAAAAATCACCAACGGTTCTGTCCAACTTTAGAAATGATTAGTTAAGATGACGGTAATGCTCCTATAATTCTAAGCCATATGAGCTGAAGTTTTTTTTTCTTCAAAAACTGCTTGTAACTCCATCAACTCAGTCTCTGAAGACCGATGTCGATCGTTAGTCGTCGTTCGATTGTAGTAATGGTCATGCCAGTAATTGTGCATGGGACTCATCCTTCAACGTGTACAAACGGCGAAGCGGACACGATCCTCTACGTGATGACCCGAATTTCGTTTTCGTGAGGATCTTTGGCGTTTTAGTGGCGAAAGAAATGTCGTTGTTCGAACACGGATTAGATGAAGAGAAAGCGAAAACGTCCAGGTCACGGAAATTACACGATTGCTGAATGACGTAATTAAGTTAAAGGATTCGGGCGGTGATTTTATGTGCAAGAAGATGTGATGTGGGTCATCGTCTACCCTTGGGACGAATGTTTTTTGAAAGAAGTGACAAAAATGTTTTTTTTGCTTTTGGAAAGGTGTTAGTACTCATAAGTGTCCTGATTATTTGGAAATCATGAACCGCTGAACAAAGGAAAGATCCTTATCCCCTCTTTTTTTTCTCCGGTTTTTTTAAATCCGAGTAAGTTTAGGCTATTCTGAAGTGCTTTAAAACAATTTTGAAGGTTTACAGTATTCTAATTCTTTCTTGTTATTCTTTCGTTCAACAACACTAGCGGTTTTGATGGAAAACGCATCAGCGCTACCAATTACCTTAATTTTGAGAGGCTTTCATAGAGAATACGCATATGGTGTTAGGATGGATGGTGTCCTTAGTGCCTGGTACGCGATTGACCCGCACACCACCACCATCACCAACGTAACAAATAACAATACCCTCTCAACCCACCCCCATCCTCCATAACATCAAGTAGCTTCCGATTAATAAGGGATCAGAGCAATTTTGTTAATGATTATGACTATTTAAGAAAAGGTACTTCGGTTGTGAATAAGCTATGTCGAAGACCCAGAGAAATTCTTTCTACGAGACCATGATTCGTTAGAGTCGTTGAGTTGAACCTTATTTACAGTAGAGTTGAAGTGAATGAGGAACGAGATGGTATGTGGTGCGAAAATTGAACGTAAAGAGGACAAAAACTGTAATATCCAGTTTCTTCATTGATAAGCTCACACAAGGTTGTTACATAAACTGTTTATTCGGCTAATGTCTCGACATTTTCATTTTCTTCAAAGCATATTGATCGGACTTGATGGTCCACAGGCAATCGTCTTTGCGGTACGGGTCTTTGTGGTTGTGTCGAGTCGAATCTTTTTGAGTAAGGCACCGCTCGAATGAGAGAAGCCTACTCGGCGCTGCCCTTTTATACAGTGAGGTCGTTGATGACACTGATTGCTTCTTGATAACAATTTGTTTTTCGTAGGAGGATTCATCCTGGGGCAGTCGGTAGTAGATTAGTTGGCATACAGTGAAGTTATATTCTTTTAGACCTGCTTTCATTTAAACTCGGTATAAAGGGTGAATATCTTACTTGCTTGGATATTTAGATGGCCCATCTTTACCGGTTCTGCAGGTTCCAGCATGACTACCATTGTTTCGGAGTTTTGCTGGTTTAACCATGGTGGTTTCCTTGAGCCCCGAAGCCAGCCAGGCTAAGGTTTGCCTCAGGTCGTTACTACCACAGGCAGTCGCCGCTCTTGTGGATCAGAGAGAGGCTTACCGCCATGCGCCTAGTTTGATACCAGGACGGTGATGATTCCTATTATTGCTATATTCTTAGCTGGGTTTCCGGATGGAAACGTCGGACTCCCTCTCAGCTTTGAAGGCGATACTGGGGAATGAATCCCACCACTGTTCATGGGAACTCAACAGCAGGGAACATCTCCCAGCCACGATGAGGCAGTAAACCGTTGGGAGTTAGTCAATACATGGTTCAGAGAAAAAAAAATGTGGTTTGTTTCCGTACTCTACAGGAACACTCTTCAGACTGACCTTTGACCCAAAGAAGATTACTGTGTCTACTATCAGTTGTGGTTTAATCGGTTACTAGATTTCTGTTGCTTACATGTCAATATCCTCCCAACGATTTACCACCTCATCGTGACTAAGAGGTGTTCCTGGGTGTCGCACTGCGATGTACAGCGAGAAGATTCATTCCTCGGCAGGGTTTCTCAAGCTGAGAAGGAGTCCGGCGTTTCGTTTCCATCAAGAAGCCCAGCTAAGAGTAAATCAGTACCAAGATCCAAGATACTGACCTGCTATTAAACTAGTCGTATGGTGGAAAATCTCCCTCTGATCCACGAAAGCGGCGTTTGGCTGTGGTGGTGACAACCTGGAGCAGTAGCTAGGCGGACCTCTGCACTCCAGGAACCCACATAAACCAGCAAAACTCCGTAAAAATGGAATTTATGCTGAGGCCCGCAGAATCAGTGAGGATGTGGCATCAAAGTGTCTAAGTAAATGTCAGAACTGTTGAGGTCGAATTATTGGGAACAATTGACATCAAAGTCAGGGATCCTTAAAGTCGTCGTCCTTGCTGAACATCAGGTTAGGTACTGCAAAAGTGAGGCTGTACGATATTCCAAAATGGCTTATCGGTTTTCTGTGAGTTCTTCATGACATCCATCGGTTTGCATGTGAATGGTCATCATTGAGTGCGATCCTTCACCGTGAGGTTAAAGATGAGCCAACTGGCACCGTTGTCGAGGTCATCGTGAGGTCATTGTTACCAACAGACATGATTGTTGGCAGTCGAGAGTAACAATAAAGAAAAGGGGATAATCAGAAAGAAAGTGGAAATGATCGAGAAATGTTTCTATTGGTGATATTATGCATATTTCGTTATGTATTTATAATCTACTTTTTTGTGTATTTATAAACCACAACGTTGCTGAGATATTTGCAAAACTCTGGACCGCATAGCTAGAAATAGCTGAGAGACGTGCGAAACAAAGGACCCGCATGGTGTGGTGGTGAACGCGTTACTCCCCGGAAAGGATAATAGCGCGTTCGTTCCCCACCATAGACACCTGCGGTCCAGAGTTTTGCAAATATCTCAGCAACGTTGTGGTTGTATTTCGCTTAGTAACCTGCCATGAAAATTATAGAAGGCAGAAAACAAAACGTTAAATATTTATAAACCATTTCAGTTACGTGTTAACGGAGCTCATGCAGAGCGATCTGCATAAGATCATCGTCTCACCACAATCGCTCACCATTGACCACGTGAAGGTGTTCGTCTACCAAATTTTGAGAGGTGGAGAGCTTTCCTTTAGAAATGTCTTTCCTCTAACTCTTTCTTCTTTCCTTATTTCCTGTACAAGTAGATAAATGACAAATTGTTCAGCGTTGCTCAATCCCCTTAGAGGGTGCTATCATTTCGATTCCATTCATAGTATCTTAGATTGAATCCACATCTGACTTATACAGAAACTTTCTACGACCTAGAATCGATCTACCAAGTTAATGTTTTTATCCTAGCAGACAAGTGTGGTACCAATTTGTTTATACTGGGGGATGGAAGTCTAGGGGAGCCCAGGAACAAGATCGAACCAAGGACCGTGTGTGTGTTGCAGAGGACCTTTAAGCACTGCGCTGTCTACATCCTACCACTAGAATTCAGAAAATTTTTTGTTTTTCCTGGAAATCGTTTCCTTTTAATATTATGTGATGATGGAAGTTTCGCCGTAAGATATTTGTATGTTGGACTTTTGTTTCAAATCGTCTCACCACAATCGCTCACCATTGATCGATTCGTCTCCTTTTTCTTAAGATTCTATAATTCTTAGCATTATGTCCTACTGTCTTATTCCTTTGTTCTATTGCAACTATATTTTTATTTTGCTCTTGTTCTTGCGAATGATGGTTTTCGGTAAACGAAAAAAGCTCGTAAATGACTAGATAGTTGAATAAAGTTGCAAAAGTATTGTTAAATATATGTATATAAATAAATAATCTCTAGGTTTAAAGTACCTGCATTCGGCCAATATCCTTCATCGGGACATCAAACCCGGTAACCTTCTGGTGAACAGCAATTGTATCCTGAAAATTTGTGATTTTGGGTTAGCAAGGATTTGGGATGCACGAGAACGACAAAATATGACACACGAAGTCGTAACACAATACTATCGCTCACCAGAACTACTGATGGGAGCACGAAGGTATACTGTCCATTTCACAAGAGCAATACCTTTGATCAATAAATTAATCCATCATTTCACAGGTATACAGGCGCCGTGGATATTTGGTCTGTTGGATGCATTTTCGCTGAGTTGCTGGCCAGGCGGATATTGTTCCAAGCACAAGGTCCAATTGATCAGGTGCAGTAACTCAACGGTTTCTAATGTTTCAGTCGTCGACATTTTCTTATTTGGCTTGAATAAGTCTTAAAATGCATCACAACCGTCTACTCGTTGACACTTTTTCTCTTCTTATTCCAGTTATCCTCACGATTTTTCATAACGAGAATTCATCTTCTTCAGTTGGATTTAATCATCGACTTACTTGGCACTCCGACACCGGACGAGATGAAGTACGCCTGTGAAGGAGCACGAAATCACGTCCTTAGGGCTCCATTCCGAGTTAACACCTTTCATCGAATGCGACAACTGAGTCAACACACAACTGACGATGCAGTACAACTTCTATCGATGATGTTACAGTTTGATCCGGTAAGGATTTCTTTTTTTCTCCACTTTTCCTATCCAAAGTAAACTGGCACTCGGGAAGCCGTTGTTTCGTTCATACAGAATCTCAGGAATAACTCAGAACATTATATTTCACTTTTCTAGTTCGTTTTTTTATGGGTCTGAGTAGTATGTTGCAGTCTGTCGCCTCATTCAAATGCTCACCTTTATAGATGAACTATTTTTTCCTGGTATTTCTCTTTCTTCCTTTTTCATTCTTTTTCTGCATACTTTTTGAACGATACCGTATTCTGATCATGAAGGAATATATGTTTTTGCTAATACTTCTGTTGTTCAACACCTGAAGTTGAAGGTGATGGTAACGATATGAAATGCCTTCTGTCAGAAGATGTGTATATTTGAAACATTGAAAGAACTATAGAAAAGGGACTAGAATTCTATGGTTGGATTCGTTTTTCAGGATAAACGGACCACCGTCGATCAGGCGTTGAAGCACAGCTATCTGGATGAGGGACGAATGCGTTTCCACTCATGTATGTGTTCGTGTTGTTACACGAACACTTCCGTTCCTGGCAATACGCGAATCTTTAGCACAGATCCTGACCCGGTGGTGAGTGGGCTCAGTTTCATTTTTCGGTTCGGAACTCTCACACCTTGTTGTTAGACAGACGAGATAATAAATAAGCAAAGGGAAAGATGAAGTTCTGAAAACCTTGTGCGACAACTACTGAATAAAATCATAAGCGAGTAACGCGATTATGCGATCGGTCTGTGTGGGACGTGTTTCGCCGTCGCGGTCGATTTAATGAACTTTTGAAAATGGGAGGAAATTTAAAATCACAAATTTATTCAAGGATTGTAGATGAAGCAAGTGACATCATTTTAATAAGAGAAAAAAAGGTTCCACCTCTCACACAAGCGAAAGAAAACACTTGAAGACAAATGGAGGGAAGCAATGAGCAAGGTTTTCTGTTTTTGTTTTCAGCACGAAATGCCGTTCGATCCAAAATGGGAGAAAGAGTTGTCACGATTGTCGATGTTCGACCTACGTGATCGTATGTATAGGTTCGTTACTGAACGAACACCACTCTTCGGTACGCCGCTATGTATTAATCCCAGCTCGGCTGCCTACAAAAATTTTGCCAGGTAGGTACTGTTTCCATTTTGTTTCGTGATTGCTCGATTGTAAATGAATGGTAAAACGATAAAGCTCTCGTCTTTCACCATTTCCCAAGGTATGTTTATCCAACTTCACTAGGCATCGTCGGTGGTGATTAGATATACATCGGCACTATAAAATGACTTATGGTCGTGTACTGTTGTATGAAGTGCTGATATCCTCGCGGACAACTGTGGTACCAGTTTGTCAACTCGGAGGTGAAGGATGCTTGGTGAACCCGGGGACGGGAATCGAACCAACGGCCACATGTGTATTACAAGTCATCTCTAACCACTGCGCTAGACGCACCCACTAGGTTGTAAATACCGTGTCGCATTCCACAGAATGAGTGAGAAGTGGGAAAAATGTAACATTGTATAAAATGTATTGAGAGGCATATATACAATGACAACGCTATATTTCATTCCGTGTGCTGCGAACTGATGTAGTGTTCCACGTGTTTTTAGAACAAAAGGGTTGAGCTGGCCATTTCTAATTTACGGTTTTTTCTGCATTTTGGTTGTGAGACCCGTGGGAAGCACAGTGGTAGAGCTGTTGCTCAATGATTCGCGTAATGCTGCTGGTTCGATTTCGCCTGTGGACTAATCAAGCTTATATTTCCGGAGGTGGAAAATCGGTGCTAAACTTTCTGAGAACTCTCCTGTCCGCATTGGGCGGCGACTCCCTTTGATGGAGACCTCTGATCGCCGTAACGTTGCTATTCCGATATTTAGAGGAAAATTTACTCTATTCTCAAGCAGCAACTGGTCCCGGGCACACAAATCCGAAGATTTACGTGGATGATGGATTAGAGGATATGAATAAAACGAAAGAACTGTTGGAATCCGTGCAATATTTGATCTTGAGTTCTGTAGTAAGGAATGAAATAGAATTTCCATGACTGACTTTCTGCTAATCTCGGCACTGATTGACGATTCAGTTTTTTTTTCGATAAGCAAATACGTGGTTGATATTATAGAATTTATCACCATGCAATAGTAGACGTTTCTGCAGTTTCGTCTTTTTCGGCCTTGAAAGGTCAAATTGACATGCGGTCTAGTCAGACAAGTTTCATAACTTTAGCAAATAAGACTTAACACATAAATTTGTCCGCATAATAAACAGCTTCATTTAAACACCGACGGTTTTATTCTTTGCAAGTATTCCAATTGATGGAGAGCAGCCACACAGAGTAACACATGGGCGAGGACTGCGCCTGGGTGAGCTCACAGAATCAGCCTGAGGTATGGCGCGAGGTCATGCGTAATAACATTACACTTCCTGCCGTTCACTTTTGGGTTTTCGGAATTAATCGAAAACGTTTCAAGAGTTTTACGCGCTGACGTTTTGGATTTCTATGCGAGGATAGTGACTGTTACTTGAAAATCTTCACCATGTTTCCGAGTCCAATGCCCCTCTAGTGTAGTGTTTGGATTTAATTTAATTTGAGTTTTAAATTTACCTACTAGGCGTCTTTTTAAACGGACACGGAATGGTCTACCCGTTTAGCCAACATTTTCGTCCCTACACGCGTTACAAAAAATTAGGTACACCGTAACCGAACTCATGCAATCAAAATTTAACCTTTCCAGGTTCTGAAGAAATCGAAACCGCCGAAACTTCATCTATTGTATGCTAATAAATCCTAAAATATCAACCTCATATTTCCTTATCGAAAAAAAGCAGTGAAGTAGAATTTTGGTGCCAACATTTTCAAAAGATTTCGTTGTAATAATCAGGGTTCGTGTTGCACAGTGGTCAGAGGCGCTCCGTAATATACATGGAATCGGTCCCTGCTCTCCAGGTTCATCAAACCCTCCATCCTTACGGGGTCGGCTAATTGGTACCAGAATGGTCTGGGAGGATAACAGCAATGCCTCTATACATCGATCGGACACTTCGAATCATTGTAAAAACTAGATATGCATTCAATCACCTCTAACGATGTAATTAAGTCGAATGCATGGCGCATCCCTCAAGAATTGATTAACGTTGAGAGTTTTATTGTTTTATCCTTATACGTTGTAATAAGGTACTTTAGGTTTTTTAAACGTTGTAATATACAGTCGATCATCTATGTTCCAGTTCATCAGTAGCTCAAGCATCCGAACTGCCACCGTCGCCCAATGCATGGGACTGACATATTTCCTTATCATACCGCATCGTGCCCAATCATTCGTTGCTCTATTGTGATCAGTGTCGACCTCATGTGAAACACTGTCGTAGTCAATGTTGTCATTTGCGTTATTCTCATATCTACTTCCTCGTTCAAGTCCTGCCACAACCTACATCCGGCACTTCACTGCAATCTTTCAGAAACATGGTCCTGATTCGGTTCTAGGCATCTTTGATATGCTCTCATATTCTTCCAAACTGAACTCTTTCATATAATTGATTATTATTATCATAATTATCTTTCAAAGTTTTTCAGTATTTGTACACAGATTTATTATTGCCCTTTCATAACAATGACTTTCACTAGTGTCGTGTTTATCACCACATAATCATCATTTTCGTCACCCTCTTTATTTTCGTCTCTATCATCGTGTTATAGGCAACATGTGTATAGTCATTAGATTGTGATCATTGCCATACATAGTATATATGTGTGTATATTTGTATACCACCATATGTGTCTGTGTATGTAATAATTCCAAATAGCCGCCTACCGTAATCCATACTTTCCGTGAGATTGTGAAACGCTTCAACAACTCGTCAGTGCTTTCCTCTTTAATATAGTAAATCTACTCATACCCTTAGGTAATCGATGTCTTTCATTTTAACGAGCCATCCGTGAACGTATCCATCCGCTTTCATCACCTAATCACCATAATTCCGTCCATCTACATTGAACCGGTCCTCTACATCCAGTCGGAAACCGTTTCTCATAATTTAACAACTTTCTCCATCCTTTATTTATGGATTTGGCCTCGTTTCACTATCATTTTGTATATAATACAGTTCACTGAATGTTATGTTATCATGTCTATTGATTTAAGTCGTCACATTTCGCTTTGCCTAGCGACATTCGGCGACAATCAGCGGGAGCGTAATTGGAGAGCGACACTGGGGTGTAGCTCACCATGATGTGCACCAAGCGCTTCTTGGTCTAGAGGGCAAATACCGTAATCAAACGGTTCTGTACTTCACACACATACACACACACCCATTTTAGGAAAGCCATCTCTTATTTTTTTCCTAAATGGAGTTTATTTCTAGTGTTAACGTTTTGTGGTGTACAGCTGCTATATTTCTCCCACGTTCACTCACGTGTACACTTTTCTTACACAAGGGAATTCTCCTTCCATCATCGTATTGTCATCATCATCATCATCATCATCATCATCATCATCGTTATCGTCCCCCGTCCCATACCGTAGTCATAACGTGGAACAGATCCGTTGATCGGTTAACGTCGTGTCATTGTCTAGTATAGTTTTTCTTATGCCAATTGGTTGACACTTTAGATTTTCATCGCTACTAACACATCATCCATTCATCACATTGTGCGTACGCCCATCCGGAAAATGTTCTTCATCTTCATTCTTCATGTTGCCGTTGAGAGGACGAATATGTCATAATATTTCTGTATAATTTTACCGTGTTTCTAGTAATAAATAATAAGTAAAAATGTGTTCTTAGACCCGTAGTTAATGTCCACGTTTGAAGAGAAGTCTAATTTCTGTGATGTCGAGTTTTGTATGAATCTGTTAAAATTTTAACGCATTCGGTTTTAACACATGCTGACGAACTTGTCCAAGGGTGCAATAACATTGTGAACGGTGCGAATTTAATACATTTGCAAGGAAGTTGGATATTGATGTCCACGATGAACGTGTGTTTGAAGCTATACTCGATTTCCATTTATTTTCCGTAACAATTGTATTTCCCGTTTTTCTCTAATTCTTTACATACACTGAGGGAGTGTAGTGTAACAGGAAGAGATGTCTTGTGGTACACTTAGAGTCATAGTTCGATCTCGCGCTAGGCTAAAGTCCCAATGTGTCTGGGGTAGCGAAATGGCAACCAGACGTGTTTAGGAAGTAGCAAGACTGACCTTCTAGAACGGTAGGCCATCACAATTTATTGTGTAAACCTTGTGATTTCAATAACCACTAATGTTATACAATAAAATCGAAGGCATGGAACTTCCTTTGAAGATGACCAACATCGAACGCTTTATCGCTACAGAAAAAGTCGAAACGTTTTTAAAAGCTAACAAAGACAAAGAACAAAGATAGATGAAGATAAGTTGAACATATTTTTCAACAGTTAACAGTCAAAAAAGCGTCATTCGTATGCAAGATACTTGTTATCAGCGAACTCATTCAAGGGAAACACCGTAGAATTCGATCTACGTCTCTTAATTCTTTCATGAGGCATCCAATAAGCAGCTTTTTGGCTTTTCCTCTCCTAGAGGCTTTTTGGATCAATGCCAAAAACCCTACAATGAATAGCAGGGACGAATGCCCGGAGGTCATACGCGACCTGATCCCGTACGTTCGCATCGATTTTTGATGTGGGATGGTGCAGTCGTCAACCACATGCGACTATAATCAGCTGTTCTAAACTTCCTCATTGGAAGTCACGAAAAAGCGGTGGGTTTTTCGAGAAGTCGTTGATCGTGTAATTACCAAAGAGTCTTTCGTCTTTGTGTAAGTGTTATTGAAACGTTTGGCCTAGTAGATTGTATATCAGTATACCCTTCCAGGCTCTGAAGAAGGCGATACTGCCGAAACGTCAGCTAGCGTTGTATTGTATTGTGTTTTTATGGAAGTAAATGTATGCTGTTTAAAAACCTCGCGATTGCTGAACAAGAAAACGACACATTCATATTCCAATGCCGAGGTTAAGAGAAAGTCGATCCTGGGAACAATAAGCAGCGTTGTGATTCGATAACGTCGGAGAAAAGGCGAGAGCGTTAGGACTTTTCGTCGGCGGGGAATCGAACTTGAGTCGCCCGTGTGGTAGCCGAGCATTCTACCACTGAACCACTGATGCTCGACATCGATAGATGGTAATTATCGTCACAGCATGGTTGATTGAGAACAACGCGTTTATCAATGACGATGAACGCTTCCATGAATAATTGCTATTCTCCTCCCTTTTATGATG